CTTACAAAGAAATCACAGGTCTAAAAAGCTGAATGAGCCATGGATTTGAGAGTATAGATCTGTGTCTGTCACGCCTTCCTTGAGACCCTCCTGTGCTGCCCAGTAACATGAGCACAACTCCCCCTCCCAATTGCCCTGCTGGCTCCTCCTGCCATAGGGGGCTCCTCAGCCTCAGCTCCCGAGTTCCCTCCCATCCTCTGTGCAAATCACGCAGGCGCCGCCGCTCGCAGACCCTCTAAGATGGGAAACCCGTGTGTCTTTCTTGTTGTGTGAAACGGTTTCCTGTGTCTGATCACTCTTCTCTCTGTCAGTAGCTGCTCAATATATTGAGAGATTTGAGATGACTTTTCTCCTGAGAGATTTGAGATGACTTACAGGAAGTAAAGTAGTGAAGTGCACATTTAAAAAGTTACACGAAATAAGGAGAGAAAACATTGAAATAGGTAATGGGAAAGGCTGGAAAAAACCATATCAGATGCAAGACAAAATGCCGACCCGTCTCCTATGTTTGAGTCTCGGTTCTGGCTCCAGGCTTCTCAGTGCATAGTGCAGAAACGGAAAGATGATTGACCGTGAAGCCCCATTCTCCAGGAGGAGGCAAAGACCAGGGATGCCGAGACTGAAGCTCTTCTAAGCACCAGGTTCTAAAAAGAGCCCCCAGGGATCCTGACTGTGAATGCAGGACGCGAGTCTTGAAGCTGGTTCTCAGGAGGTTCTTCCGGGCGGAGGCTGCAAGTGGAGCGTCTCCTCCCCAAAGGTAGGCCTGGCCAGGCCTGGCAGCCACGGTGAGGTTGAGTCTTGAAGCTGGTTCTCAGGAGGTTCTTCCGGGCGGAGGTTGCAAGTGGAGCGTCTCCTCCCCAAAGGTAGGCCTGGCCAGGCCTGGCAGCCACGGTGAGGTGTGGCATCCCCAGCACCGCCCGGCCAAGGGCCCCACACCAGTCACTGCCCTCGTGGGACTCCGCTCAGCCGTGGGTCACTCGGCAGTGGCTGCTGGCTGGACGTGTGGTAGGATCCAGCGAGCTTTCAGGGGATGCTGACACCCTTTGATGGAAACTGAGGTACCTAAAATAGATAAATAAATGAGAAACCTGTTCAATAAAAAGGAAGAGATAGAAATAGCAGAAGCTGTAAGACCATCACAGATGACTGGACGGGTTATTTCTAAATTTAAAAGCAGTTTATAGCAGTAGAGCTTGTCCTAAACCATAATAGGAATCCTGGGACCCATTCAGTCCACAGGTGTTTGAGCGTCTCATCCCAGGAGCTGAGAGGCAGCTGACCCGCCCCATGGTGTGTCCGAGACTGTCCCAGGAGCCCCCGTGGTCCCAGCAAGCATGTGGTTGGTTACCTGCCAGTGTGGGAGAACTGTGGTGAGGGTCTGGGCACATCCACGTCCCATGGGTGACCTGCATTCCCCTCCAGGGCTGAATGCAGGGAGTTCGCTGTGTGTGTGTGTGGGGGGGGCGCCGCAAAGCCACTGCCTGCATCAGACGCTGTGTCTGGCTGTCTGTCAGGGAGGTGGGCAGGAGCAGCAGGACTCTGACCACACAGGTGTCCCATGGCTGTCCTCAGAGCCCTCGCCAGAAGAGATGAAGCAGAGCTGAATGGCGCAGAAAGGATGCTGACGCAGGGGTTGGGAGCCCGTGCCCGGGCCACCCTGGAGGGGCACGTGGCCAGCCGTGGCGGCTGCTTGTCAGCAGCTGCCTTCTGACGGAGGCGGGAAGCCAAGCTGAGCAGAGGCTCACATCCCACTTACCCCACTTCTGCCCCCATCCGTGACCCTGGGCTGGCACCTAACCTTTTGGTGCCTCAGTTTCCCTCCCTGTAGATTGGGGGGTGATGATGTGTTGTGAGGGTTAAATGCTGTGTGTGCTGTGTGCTTCTGCCATCGTCATTCCCAACACCTCACCACGCGTTGTCCACGCATTGTCCTCGTGGTTAAGCCTAATCCCAGTCCCTCCCCGGCTGTTGCCCCGGGTGAGGCAGGTAGATCCATGTTGTGGGTCCTGCATTTGCCAGTGGGGAGGGGGCTCTGCAAGGGAGATGGCACCAGGATGCCTCAGTGAACGTGTAACCAGGCGCGCCTCGAGGGCTGTGGGGCTCTGGAGCCATCGCTGCTCAGGGCAGATCAGCCTTTGGGGCGCCGTGGGCCACGGAGGCTGGGCTGGCCCTGTTCATGTGAGTACAGCTCACTGGCTGCTGTTGTTCAGAAGTCTGAACGTAATGAAGGTCCGACTTCCCTCTTTTGGTGTCAGATTCGAGTTAAGGCCCACAGCTGCTTTTGTGTTCCTCCTGGACTCCTCGTCTGGGTGGTGACCATAGGTGTCCTGGACGTGGCATGGTTGCCGTGGCTGAGGGCCCTCATTGTGGTGCTGGGGGAGGCTGCGGGACCTCTCCTAGAGCCTCTGCCCGGGAGACGGCTCATGGGGACTTTAGCACCAGGACCCGGGGTGGATCCCGCTGGGGCCAGCACATTCAAGCACCACAGCTTTGTAAATTGCCTCCGCTGGTTCCCCTGGAGGTTGGCACATGAATACAGAGAAGATTTTTCACGGTTTAAAAAGCTATAACTAAGTATTAATTTGAGCCCTTGTTTAAGGGGTTTAAAGGTGGATGGTGGCTTTTCCTGTGTGTTGGGATGGTGCCTGAGGAGCACAGCTTTCTCAAGGGTCACCAGTGCTTCAGGCTCTGGCCGGAGTGCGCATGGGCCTGAACATGGAGGACGTGTGTCCTGTGTTTCTACACAGCAGGCGGGGGAGACAGACAGGCCTTGCTCCATGTTACAAAAGTGCTGCACCACGAGGGGTGTGTGCACAGCTGCTTGCACCTTTGCATGTGTGTGGGCACACAGGCACATGCACATGCACACACACCCACATGTGCCCACAGGCAGAGGCACATCCATAGTCACACCCACGGGCACAGGCACGCCCGTGTGCACATGCACCCAAGGGCACACACATGCCCATGTGCACACGTGCCCACAGCCCACGAGCATACACACATGCACACGCACAGGGACACACAAAGCACTCACGCCCACGTGCACTGTGACCCTCTTACTCTCTGGGTTTCTTTCCTCTGGAGCTTCCGAGGGTTTTCCTGTGGGTTGTGCCATTGGCCTTCACATGTGTGTGAGGCTCCTACAGAGGATAATTAGGGACTGAGAGAGGAAGCATCTCATGTGGGGAGTGGGCTGCAGAGCTGTAGCTAACCCCAGGCTAGCCCAGGGCATCGCTATCCTGTCGGGCCTGTTGGCATCAGGGACTGATAGTGACCAGATGGAACCGCGTACTTGCAGGAAAATTGGAGGAAGATTCATCCCAGTGAAAAGGCCAAATGAGAAAATGTTTAAAGTAATTGAAATTCTATTAAGCATTTGTTAGACTAGGAAACTATTAGTGATGGAAGTCTGCCAGCATTCTGCTTTTATTGAAAGATAAAATGATGGTTTTTGTTGTATTTAGGTGGATACTTCTCTGTATCCAAAATGCTCAAACAATTTAAGCAGACAAGTGAAAGTTGTCTGAAGAGGGAGAGGTGGGTTTCATCTGGTCTCCCAGACTCTCCTTTCTAGAGCCAGGGTGGGCTGGCAACGCTGTCTGGGGTCGTGTCAAAGCGCTATCAATATGTCCTGGTTCAGTTTGCATTTCCTTGGAGGCTGGTGACGTTGAGCATTTTTCCACATGCCTGTTGGCTGTCGGTCTTCTTTGGAGATGTATCTGTTCAAGTGTTTTGCCTTTTTTTTTATTGAATTATTTGTCATCTTATTATTGAATCCCAAGAGTTCTTTCTCGTAATGGATACACGTCCTTTATCAGATAACTGATTTGCAAATATTTTTCCCAGGCTGTCTTTTCACTTTCTCCATGGAGTCTCTTAAAGCATAAACGCTTTTAATGTTTTTAATTTTGGTGAAGTCTGATTTATCTTTTTTTTTTCTTTTAGCAGTTGTGCTGTTGGCATCATGTCTAGGAAAGCGTTACCACCTCCAGGCTGCAGATGTGTTCCTGTGTTTTCCTCTGTGAGGTTTATAGCTTTAGTTCTTGCATCAGGTGTGTGGTAGAGGCGGGTCTGCAGTCATCTTTGGCACATAGACGCATGTTGGCCTCAGCTCCATTTACCTTCCTGCTGCTTTCTAACAAAACATGACATGTGCCGTTTCAGTTCTTACTTGAACAATTTAAATGTTTCATAGTTTGGACCTTAGCCATAAAGCTTCCTGAAGATGGAATTGTTTCAGTTTTGAGTCATTTGTAGGTGTGCATGTACTGAAGTAATTGCTCAATTTCCTAAACGCTGGTCAGGTCCAGGTGGTGTCACTTTTGGTGTAATGAACTCCGTTTTCTAACTCCAGCCTGTGCCCAACCAGAACAATGGGGAGGTTTATTTAAGGACAAAGCCCACTGGCTTGCTGCCCCTCGTTAGAGTTTGCAGTTTATTTTCAGTCTCAACCTGTGGTCCTGCTGCATCTGCAGGTGCCTCAGGCGTGAGCAGGTCCCTGTGGAGGGTCGGCTGTGGTGGGGGCTGCTGTCCCATGAGGAGCCAGGATGGCCATTCAGGTGGGATTTCGCACCAGCTCTCTGGAGGAAAAGGAGCCATGTGTGGAACTGGAACACTGTGTCTCACTTTTAAGGCATAAAGTGAGCGCTGCCACCCCCTCCCCCAAACCAGTTACCTTCAAAGCATCTCACAGTCTGGAATATTTGTGCTACCCTTGGACACGTGCAGCAGATATCTTCTTGCTCATGGCCACAGTCTGTGTTAAATGTCAGCTAAGCCATGTTCCCAGTTCATTTGCTTATCATGACAAGCCTTTGAGATGAGGCCCGGTTCCACGAGGGTCCTTTGCAGTCCAGACTGTGACTGCGTGTCTCAGAGGTAGAGCACAGTGCAGGGTTTCCATGGAACATTGAAAGACGCAGTCGTAGGCATGTGCCTGGAGGGTGCTCGCGCTGCCGCCTGGGTTCTAACCATGAGCATTTTGTTTGTTTCTCCAGCCCCTTTTATGGAGAAGACTTTTACTGTGAAATTCCCCGGAGTTTTCGTCACCTGTCATTTTACATTTTCGATAGAGATGTTTTCCGGAGGGATTCCATCATAGGTAGGTACTAGATGAATGTTTTCTTCACTTTGCCTTTCCTCTGAGCTGGGCCTCATTCTGGCAGGAGTGGGAGTGTGTTCTGAGTCAGGGGTGTTAGTGCGTGTGGTCTGGAGCCTTCCCAGGCGTCCTGTGTGGGCACAGCAGCCTTGGAGTCGGCATTCTTGCCGTGGAAGAGCCCTGGGTGCTCACTGGCCCCGCATCTATGGCTCCTGTGTCTTTCCACCTTGGTGGCTTCCCTAGTCCCTAACAGTATGCGGAAGAGCCTCACACCCAGAGCTCACATCAATGGGTCCGGACACGCGGGGTGGAGGCTTCTGAGCCAGGGTGTAGTGTCCCCCTAAGTGTCCCCAGAGGACTCCCACAGGCTCCTCCGGGGCCTGTCTGCAGGGGGCACTTTGGGTGAGCAGCATGGCCCCTCCTCTTCACCTCCTCTGGGGGCCCCGTCCCTGACCCCCGTCTCTCCTCTGCGGTATGGACAGGGAAGGGCTGGCTGGGGACTGTGGGCGGGGGGCGGTGGCTGGTGAGAGGGTTGGGACCAGAGTCCAGCTTCCCCTCTGGTTTTAAGAAAGATGGTTGTATGAGAAGAGGCAGAGGTGCCTCGTGGGGTGCGGGGCCCCAGGATGGTTCCGGCCCCCACTGCAGAGCCGGCCTTAGGTAATGGGCTGGAGGCATTTGTCTGTGAACACACCCAGGACCCACAGTGGGAGGACCTCACTCCTCAGGCGTCACAGACTTGAGACAGGAGGACGCTGGATGCATCAGGACGACCCCCGGCTGCTGCTCCCCAGAAGAGGAGGGGGAGGGGAAGAGATGGGGAAGCTGGTGGGACCCAGAAGGGAGAGGGATGGAGCCACCGCCCAGGAGGACCACACCCCAGTGACACAGGGGCCCTGTGCACGAGAGGAAGGAGAAGGGGATGTGAGAGCTCCTCGCACCCCCTCCCCCTCCCCCCTCCCCCT